GTTGATAACTAGTTATTCAATATCGTGGAATAAAGTCCCTCTTCATTTCGCTTGTTTTGGGTGTCTTCATTGATGAGATGATTAATTGCGCTTCTGTTCGACGTTTACATCAAAACCTTTAAATTTAAAAAAAATTTCTAAACAGCATTTGCCAAAAAACGAGCTTTTAGATATTATTTCTTATGATGACAGCCATGTAGGTCATATGTGAAAATGTTTCAAAACAACAAACCACATTGACAAGCATACAAAATGTCTGCTAGGTACCACGCATATTGTTATTTCTACGATTAATAAAAAAAACGTTTCCATAATATGTCACCTCTTTAAGAAGTGCTTTTATTTAACTAACGAACTTCTGTGTATATTAATATTTTTTTACGGTAGTGACACAAGGAAATTGAAGACTTTTGACAATTTCTTTGATTAACCTGAAGATAAACGGTTAAATGTGACTGGAGATGAATGAACATACTTTTCTCTTTATAACGAACTATTTACTGCTTAAGGGCATTAATTCCACGATCCGTAATGGGCGTGCGAATGCAAAAAAAACAGGCCACCTATATGACCATTTTTGAAATACATATTATTCTTCTATCTGTTCTGTTTCGCAATAATATATAAGCTGGACGTGAAGTTTACATAAATGTACATTTCTACCTGACTTAAATTAAATAAAGCCTATTTAAATCATATTCACAGTAACATTCTTGGCAATATTTGCTTATGCGCTCATAGATATCGGTGGATTAAAACAATTTTGTCATACAAACCTATTATTGCACTTTATGACACAAGACTTAACAGAATACTAAAAGGCAATTTTTAAAACATAAATTTTTACTTGTTTCTGGAAATAAATGTCATTCCTTAAAGTTGGCCTCACTTCCATTTTATCAACTTTGCACAGAATTTTCCACTTCTGGAAGGAACAATTATTTCACTTTTTTATTTATTCTGTAATTCTTCCATAGCATAATGCATATGAGTAAACATTTGGTTCTGTCATACCTTATAGCATAGGAAATTTGTTTGATATAACCTTACTCATGATTCAGCCAAAATGAGTGCCTATTTTGCTCCATAACTATAAATTAGATGGCCTTTTTACAAACTAAAGCATTTCTTATTATCATATCCATTCAGTTGATCAACGTTATGCCAAAATACCAAATTAAATTTCGTAATAAATGTTGTTTGCAGGACTGTATGTGTAAAGTAGAAATCTGTCATTAAGCTTGTTGCTCGAAGCTGATGGGCGTAGATTTTTCGCATGTAAATTGAAAGTGTGCGCGGCGCTTCCCCTAGCAGACTATATCAATGTAACTTCTTCGTATGAATTCGAAAATGAGCATCCGAAAAATATAAGTTTATAGTAAATATTCTCTGGAAAACAGGATTAAAAATTTACTGTACATTTTCGACGCTAGCACACCAGGTCGTCTTCGGAAGTGGGGCAAATGTGTGATGAGCAGTGCACATTTTTGAACGTGTCAAACAATAAATAATGACAGTATTAAAAAATAACATAACTCCAAAATGGCAAGTTAAAGTAGCCGACATCCTAAACACCGTTCCAATTTTTTTTAATTTTGAGAAACCTGTGTTTTGATAAATGGGTTTTGCCAAAATACGTGAAACGAAGATACAGGTTAGGAAAACCTACAAATATTAATCAAAAGTACAAGAAAAATCCATACAGTGATTATAAAAGTATGTTCAATTGCCTATCCTTATGCCTCACCAATAAAAACCTTAAAAGCACTGTTTTCGTAAGTCAAAATGCTGAAAATAGGTGTATAACAGATGCACTACTA